CACATTCTCTGAAAATAAGCTGCGTATAAAGACTCATTCCTTACATGAGTCTTTATTATGGCATAAGATTTTTGTCCATGGATGGGCTATGATAATGATCAGAAATGAATCATTCTGGAGGAATCAATGCTTAAAAACTGGCAAGGAACTTAAGATTGTATCTTTCATTTCCATGTAAAAATTTTGGATTCTGAGAACCAGCCCTACAAAATAAGATGGAGGAATATGGTAGTTTAAACATGTAACCACAAATACTTTGAGGTATTTGAGATGGATTTAATTCCTTCCCTTGAATGTGGATTGTATTTAGTGCCCAAATGGAATAAGGTTGGAAATGTCAGTATGTGACTTCCAAAACCTAATCATAAAGGGTATAAAACTTTCTTCTCCTGTGCACCAAACACTTGGAGGAAGGCCAGACACCAAATTTAAGGATTCAAAAAGTCTGTAGAAAGGTCCATGTGGTGGAACCTTGAGACTTCCTATTATAGTTAAATGAGTGAGGCATCTTGAGAGTAAATCCTCAAGTCCCAGTCAAGCCTCGGTAACTACAAACAAGAACACCTAAACTGCATTCCCATAGAAGATGCAGATCTAGAAGCTTCTCCCAAATTCTGACCCTTGGAAACCATACCAAATGTAGGTGGTTATTACTTACACTAGCTTTAATGCAATTTATTATGTAGTAATAAATAAGAAACAAGCTGCTTCCAGATTTTTGTCATCATATAGAAAATCACAAGTACAAGAGGCCAATTTCAAGTGTGCAAGAGTGCTTCAGGTCTCAGCTCTGGTCTAAAACGCTGATGTCCACAACTGAAAAGTCGACATTTAAGTAAAATCCAGTATCTGTGGAAAGAGCAACACAGTCCTTTGTAGTAGGCCAAATAATAGTCACCCAAACATCAAATTCTAATCCTTGGAAATTTATGTGTAAAGGAATCTTTGCAGATGTGATTAAATCAAAGATTTTTACATAGGGAACTTATTCTCTCTGAGCCATAAAGCTCTAAATAATTGCAAGAAGTGTCCTTATAAGATAGAGACCCGTGATATTGGAGACACACAGAGTGATTGAATATGGTAATGTGGCCATAAGCAAGGAATATCAAGGAATGTTGGCAGCCAGCAACAGACTGAGCAGACAAAGCGTGGCTTCTCCAACTGAGCCTTCAGCTAACACCTTGATTTTGGATTTCTGGCCTCTGGGAGCATAACTGAATAATTAAACAGTGTTTTGAACCACCAAGTGTCTGGCAATTTGTTGCAACAGCATAGGGAAATGGATTCATTCAATGATGTGAGTGGATATGCTGAGTATTACTTGAACAATAAGCTAATTGGCTTTAACACCTTCAGGAAGTCAAAAGTACTATGTACTAAAATGAATAAGTAAGCATATAATACATATGCAAAATAAGAATGAAGAATTTCAATAGAAAGATTAGGATCAGTGACGTGGCTCAGTGGGCAGAGGTGCTTACATGTAGGTCTACAGACCTGAGTTCAATCCCTGGGTCCCACAAGATGATGGGAGAGAACTCCCAAAAGTTGTCCTCTAACCTCCAAACACACATTGTCCCAAGAGCACACCTGCTCGCTCGCTCTCTCTCTCTCACTCTCTCTCCCTCTCTCCCCTCTCTCTGTAAATAAAATTAAGAAAAAAAAAGATTACCCATAAAAGCAGTAGAGAACGCCATTATTTTGCTTCTTAAAACTTTCCAAAACCAAATTAAAGGAGCTAAAATCAATATAAAATCAAAGAAAAGAAAATGGGGTAAAATGATGAGATTTTGGATTTCCAGTGGAAAAATAAAGAATAAAATATGAAATAGAAATAACTGTCTCATTAATCAGTTATATGTAAGATTTGGTAGGAAAAAAAGACACAAAGTAAAAAAGAAAGATATATTTTATAAATGATATGAAAAGTTTGTCTTATGATTTGGGACTGTCCACAAGGGGCTGAAATAGGCAATATAAAAACTTCAAAGGCACAGTCTGATGAAAGATCCAATTCTGGTAACTACTTTGCTTCATGTTTAAGGTTGATAATGCTGTAGCTCATAGTGCGTTTTAGCTTTTCTATTGTAATTTTTCTCTATTCTTAATAAATTAGAACTAATATCTATAGGAACCAGAAATGTCTAGAAGGAACTACTTTTTGACATCTGTTAAATCAAGAAATGGGCAGTAAGGTTCTTTCTCTATTAATTCTTACTCTGAGCTGCTCTTGATAGGCTTGAAAAGCAACTTCAGGAGGCAACTCTTAACATCATGGTAGACGCTGCAATGTTAGAGGTATACTAAAGTTACATAGTTAACTCTTCACCAAACACTTGTCAAACAAATGAGCCAGCTAACACTGTCTTTGTGATCATCTACCAAAACTGAATTGTATTAGTTTCCTGGAGCATTGGCCTGACCAATAAGACTTTTCAAATATTGTTGTTACGACTTTTGTTAGGCTGCTCCAAGAAATAATAATTCTGTGACATACTTCATACAGTATTTTTAGTGAGTTGAAAATACATCGATTAGCTAGACATGTTCTTTTTTGTTCTTTTTTTTGACAGATGGCATAGAAAAATTGTGTTCCATGCTTTGCCAAAGAAAAACATAATGATTTTTTTGTCATTGAGATTAAATCAAAGTTAATAGGAAAATGCCTTAACAAACAAATACTAATTTTTCACTACCCTTAGCTAAAATAATATGAAGATAGTTTTACAAAAATGTATGTTTTTCACTTGAGATGTTTATGGTATGACTTGAGTGGTTGGCACAGACAAAACTTATCTTCACATAGGCAGAACTGGTAAAAGAAAGGAGCCAGGGGCTCCTCCCAAGCCCATGTGACCCCTGAGGAACAGATCCTCAAACGACCTTAACAGTAAAAATAAATCAGTTTATCTGGACCAACCGTGTGGCCTTAAACACCCAAAAGGAAAGTACAACCAAAGATTAAAGGGGCCAATATAATTTCATAAGAGTCCATATGTATAGCTAAAGGCTACATAACAAGCAATGTCAGACAGGCGATACTTTCTTTTGAGTTGTTGGCCAGGGTGGCCAAAGGGATTCCCAGATA